GAGATGTTAAACCAAGGTCTCGTCTGCCTGTTCAGATGGATGTTAAAGATTCCGGGGTGGTACTTGAAAAGAGAAGGGAGTTTCTCTCTCCCGGGATCCTGGCCAACAATTTTCTGGATAAATTTGGTAACTTACTCTATGGATGTGCTACTGCCTACAAAATTTGCGTTCACCTACAAAATACACAGTCAATCTACTTTAAGGAAAATCATGTGAAGTGCAATATCAAATGCAAAGATTATATTATTATTATTTAAATCCTGTAAAGCGTTTGAGACGTCCTTCTGATGTGATAAGGCACTATTAGTAATTTATCCACTATATCGATTCCCAGATCGAAGCCAAGCCCAAGTGCTGAGAGCAGAAGATTGCACTAGTCTGATTCGAGTCCTACCTAATAAAGCCTTAATTTTATCTCCTCAAATGGTTTCTCATCCCGGCCAATCACCTGTGGTGAACCCCAATGCTGCATCCTTGGCCCCTCCTCTTCCTCATCTATATGCTCCCTCATAGTGATGTCATCCGCGGACATGGGGTAAACTTCCACATATATACAGATGACACACAAATCTACTTTTCCTCCAGCTGTGACTCCAGATCTGCCGATGTTCTCTCAGCTAGTCTGGCAGACATCAGGTCCCGTATGAACGAAAACTTCTTACAATTAAATGTTGACAAGATGGAAGCCGAACTCATTGGCTCCTGTCAATGTCTTCTATCTTGTGGCTCTGACCTCCTCAACCTCACCAGCCTATCTTTCAGACTTCCTGAACCAGTGCATGACCTAGTGTCAGATTCAACCCACAGCTGTCCTTCCTTCCCCACATCCAGTCCCTGACCAGGACTGCCTTCCTCCACCTCCGCCATATTGCCCGCCTCTGACTGTACCTTACCCCAGATTCAGCCGAAAAACTCATCCATGCGTTTGTCAGCTCCTGTTCTCAAATGCCATCTTTTCCGGTCTCCCCAGTTCCATCATGCACAGGATCCAGCTGATCCAAAACTCTGCTGCCAGCATACTCATCTTTACTAAACGCTGTACCCCCATCCTATCAGTTCTAGCCAGGCTCCACTGGCTCCTTATCGCCAAATGGATCAATTTCAAGATCCTCATTCGTTTTCAAATACCTAATTCCTTGGCACCTCCTTAACTTTCCAACCTGCTTACCCCCCAACTCACAACTCGCTGCCTCCGCTTGACTGGCTCCGGCCAGTTTCAGATCAAATAAAGGAACTAAGACGCACCTCATCAGAGATGGCGTAATCTGATGTGAGACCCACATTTCAATGATAGCATTCAAATCGATTCTAATAGTCATGTGTCAGTGACTAGAGGGCATCAACCAAAGGCAGTTAGCAAACAAGCAAATGGGGAGGTTAGGAGAATGTTTTTACAGAGTGGATGAGATTTGGAATGCCCTGTCGGGAGCGGTGATTGAGGCAGAATCCATATTACAATAACAACTTGGCAGATATATAGCGCCCTTCATGTGGGACCGCGCTTATTATTGGCAGAGCCTGACGCCGAACCAGGGGAAGGGAGGAGGTGATTGTAAGCACGGTCGAAGAGTAAACTCTTTGGTCGTGATCAAAAGAGGGGAAGGAAGGGCAAGGAGAGGGATTGAGGGAGAGCATTCCAAAGCTCGGGCTTAGTGTCTGAAAGCACGGCGGCCAATGGTGGAGTGAAGGGGAGGAGGGACGAGCAGGAGACCGGAGCCAGCCAAGTGGAGGCAGCGGGTAGTTGGCTGGGGAGAAAGCAGCTCAGAAAGGTAAGGAGGTGCCAGGGTATGAAGTGATATCAGCCTTCAAAACGAAATAGAATGCAGATAAATTACCTGAGCTGTGCTAGAAATTTCTATGGTGCTACTACAGTGAACATTTGTAGGGCATCATAAGAAGATAAGGGCACATTAGAGACCACAGAGCAAGCAATTTCATTCACGTCTGCCAATTGTCTTCCACTCTTCAATTAATTTGACTTTTTTTTCAACCACCCTTTCCTGTCTCCTCTGGGCAATTTCCCCCTGAAGATGACAGCTCATAGAGTTCCAAGCGCAATTCCATTGTCCCACTTATATATTGTACTCATGCATGAGAGAATGCCTTCAGGAAAAACTGGAGGATATCTATAACTGGAGTCCTGTAGCATAGTGGTTTGAGCACTTGCCTTGCAAGCGAGAGGACCCGGGTTTGATTCCCAGGCGGGCAAAACGTTAGGTAAATTTCCTTACTCCACATGCCTCTGTTTACCTAGAAGTAGCAACTCAGTTGTTAATTGATTGAAGGATCGCTTTCTGAATTTCCCTCCAAAATTTTTTTTATTTGATCACTCAATCCACAACTGTTTGTGGAACACTGCGGTGCGCAATTGGCTGCCGCATTTCGCCCACAAAATACAGTCAATCCACATTACAATATATCCTGGGAAGAGCTTTGAGACATTTCAACGACGTGACAAAGGTGCTACATCAAATGCAAGGATTATTATTAATATTATAACTACAAAGACATGGTGGGGAGAGAGTGAAGCAGAAATAACCCTGACTTGAAACACAATGAAGGAGGCTTGCTCAATCCATTTGGGACAGCCCCAGCACAATTTTCCTCTTGAAACCTCTTTGGTTCAATTCCCAGCATAAGGGAAGACAAACTGAGAGCAAGAGACAGAGACAGTCTCCCTCATCTGCCTCCAAATCTGTCGAGTTTCACAAAAGGTTGGTAGCTGATACCCTGAAATCTCAAGGTTAAGCTAACAGGGCGAGGGTGACCTACTTAACAGGGCTGGTGGATTGGGGGGGAGTGGGGGGGAGCCTGGGATAACAGTATCAGTTAGGCCTGAAGCTTGCGGCTTTGCTTTGTGTGTGAATGTGCTATAAGTCATTTACACTTCCAGCATGGGACTTTATCTATTGTCCTCTCTCTCTCTCTCTTTACACCCCTCCCTCTCCTTTGGAGGAGGAGGGAGGTAGGGCTGTGGTTTAGTATTTCCTCCCCGTGGTCTGTGCTGGGTTTCAACTGTGGCTGAGTGAAGGCTTCAGTGAATAATGTTAAACGATCAGCGTCTCTCTCTCTCTCTCTCTCTCTCTTCCCTTTTCTCTCACTTGGTACAGTCCGGTTCTTTTATCTGTAACCTGCGCTTGGGGCTGGGAGCTGTCGCCTGTGAATCAATCACAAAGAGTATGAGAGCAGGGCCGCTCGGTTTGTTTTATTAATAAAAGTAGCCGAGAAAGGCTTATGGCCAGCACCCACTGCACACTGCCCATCGGATGATTTCAATCTGACTTGTTCCGTGGTTCTTTCGAAAAGGATTTTCAAAATTGGCAAAATTTGGCAAAAAAGGGGGAGATAACCATTGGGAAAAAGAATTGATTATAATATTTAGGATTTCATTAGGTGTTGCGATTTCAAACTTAAAACATAAGGGATGTGAGATACTGGGAAAAATAAAAGCCTTTATTAAAGGCCCAAAATGAGAGATGACAGAAAATGTTCAACACCACTTTTTCTCTCTCTCTCTCTCTCTCCCTCTGTCTCGCTCTCCTCTCTCACCCTCCTCCCTCTCCCAGCACAGTAAAAGCACCAACAAAACAAGAAGCATTCATGTTCCAGAGACGGAGAGACGCAAATGAATTCATAATGCCAAGTCTTGTTTAACTCTGCGCCTTCATCTGCTTTTTATAAGAGCGTCGGGCTGGCCTGTACCTTGCCAGGCAGCAATAAACACACATTAGGGATGATTAATGAGGGGCCTGATGAGGGTTGGCATTTCATTTCATTCCACTTCCTTCAAGAACAGAGGGACCCTTGCCAAGCTCTGTCCGCTCTGCCTGCTCACGTGACCCCTAATGCCTCTGGGAATCATTTCTGCAAATACAGCTGAATAGCAGTTAAACCTCGCCTTGAGGGGGTATATCAGTTAACGCGCAGCTGTTGTTGTTGATAACACCTCCGGGGGCCCCAAGCCGAGTGCTGACTTTAGTCTCAGTTGCAGCCGTGTTTCTTTTTACCCTTTTTCCTCTTTTGTTTTTCTGCCTTTTCTGAATTCCCGTGTTTTTTTTGGGTTGACAAATGGATCGCTACGATCCCAAAGTTGCTGCCGAGGACGATTTGAGAGCTTTGGCGACCTCTTTGTCTCCAGTTTCCACCTCGCTCAAACGGGAGAAGGAGCCTGATCTGGACAACAAAGAGAGCTGCTTGCTGACAAAGGAAGAGGGCAAGGTCCGGTCTGGCAAGCACGTTGCAGAGAAGAGGCTTGTGTTGGCGGCTCCGCAACAAGACAGCGGGACTCCCTACAACACCAAGAAAGCCACGGCATGGGGAGTCCGGGTGTGGGACGAGTGGGGCAAAACACGAAACGCTTATATCATGGAGGAGGGGGTGCAACGTAACGAGCTTTTTTTGTACGTACCAGAGCTCTGCTATGAGATCACCCACGATGAGCTGAACTTCTGGCTCTGCCGCTTCGTGTTGGAAGTGCGGCGCCAGGACGGCTCCGAGTACCCCCCCAACTCGCTGCGGCTTCTCTGCTGCTCCATTCTCCGCCACCTGCGGGAGAACTGCAAGCGCCGGGACATTGACTTCTTCAACAAGCTGAAGCCGGGCTTCGCTGAGTTCCGGGGCATGCTGGATGAGAGGATGAAGCAGCTGCAACGCCTGGGGATCGGGCTGGTGAGAAGCAAGCGCAGCCATACAGCGAGGCGGACGAGGAGAGGCTGTGGCGGGCGGTATTCCACCTGCGCGACGCCAAGAGCTACAGCTTTGCCGCCTACTTTTACGTCTGCAAGGTCTTTGCCCTCTGCGCAGCCAAGGATCACCACAAGCTGACTGTGGGCCAGTTCCAGTTCGGCTGTGACAGTATTGGGGAGTATGTGGAGTTCGCCGGACGGATCGGCAACCTGCAGGACGGCGGGCCTGAGCGGTGTGGGGCGGCGAGGACACGGCAGTACTCCGACTCTGCCAACCCACGCTGTGTGGTGTCACTCCTGCGGCGCTACCTCAGCATGATCCCACCCAAGGGCTCCTTCTACCGACGACCACTGCCCGGCAGCCTGCAGTTCTCGGAGCAGGCCATTGGCGTGCACACCCTGGAACGCTATTCCAAAGAGATCTGCGAGGCTGGTGGGATATCGGGGCATCACACGGGACACTCGGGAAGGGTAAGCCAACGGCTGGGATTTCCCAGATCACTTGTGTCACCCACCATACTGACGCCCAAAAGTGGAGTCCTGTGGTTAGCGTGGTTAGCGTGCTACCTCGCAAGTGAAAAGAACCAGGTTCGATTCTGGACCGGAGCAATAACTTAGGCATGTTTCTTTATTCCACAGCCTATGTTTACCTAGCAGTTAGTAGGACCTAATTTGAGCACAGTAACATCCCACAAACAGCCTTGAAATGAATGACCAATTTTTATTTTGGGGATTGTTGTCCAGGTTACCAGGATTCCCATAGCGTAGTGGTTAGCGTGCTCGACTTGCAAGCAAGAGGACCTGGGTTTGATTCCTGAGCGAAGTGAAACCTTAGGCAAGTTTCCTTATCCCACAAGTAAGGAATGGCTGGCACATTTCGCCCATAAAATATACAGAAAGAAATCACTCCAGGGGAGTGGGGGTGAATGACTGGGGAGACACAGAGCAGAGGGCTTACCCGCTAACACCACCCTCCCCATCCTCTCCATTCCATTGCTGTTTGTGGGTCATTGCTGTGTGCAACTGGCTGCTGCGTTTCGCCCACAAAATATACAGTGAATCCACTTTACAGTATATCCTGGGAAGCACTTTGAGGACATCTGAACGACGTGATAAAGCGCTATATCAAATGCAAGGATGATTATTATTATTCGGCAATTTGTTGATCACACAAACATGTGCATTCACACAGATCGTGAACTCACAAACACACACACATACATACAGTTGATAGTGGGGTGTGGGAGAATGATGGTGCCTCTTCCAGGATGGTTTCACAGTTTAAACACCTAGCATATAGAGCCTCCTGAGCTGCTCATAGAGCTGCTTCGATGGCGAGCTGGAGATCAGGGAGAGTTACGTACATACATAAGCACAGGGGCAGTTTATCTCTGTGGTTTTTGAGCTTTTCACTGTGCTGGAAAGCTCAATGCCTTTATGGGTTTAGAGTGACGTGTGACTTGTATTTGCGTTAAGAATTCACCTCTCTCAGTTAGCGCGCTCAACTCGCAAGCGAGAGGACCTGGGTTTGATTCCCGAGCGGGGTGTATTCCGTGTTTGTAGCTGTTTGCTAATCACTTAAGACGTAACCTTAAAACAGCGCCTGCTGCTTTAACCTGAACTGACTGGGGAGATAAACCCAGAGGCTCCCGGCTCCGTAAGCACATACACACTGGCCACCTTGTCTGAGTTAACCCCACATGGCCGGTCGATGAGCGGCCAGACACTCATTCTTGTTCCTAGTCTAGCAAAGGTTCCCTCCTGCAGGAAGGGATTGAGCCAGCAGCAAGACGCCAAGAGGCACAAGGGGCTTTGTTATACTGGGCTAAGGAGTGCCTGGGGCACCTATGACTGTGAAATGAATGATCTGCAGTTCAGGAAAACCCATGAGGCTGAACACCACACAGAGCTCCATTGGCACTTGTACATACACGGCAGTAGTTAATCCAGGGAGGGAACAACAAGGGCATATCACTGCCTATCTTGGCCATTGTTATGTGGATGGCCTGAGATCTGATAATGGAGTAGTTGTGTGGATGCTGGTGATTGTTTCTTGCTATTATTGTTAAGACATCATTTTGAGTTACTACATATACAGATTATATACTAAGAGAGTAACCACATAGACACATTGTGTACTGAGAGAGTAACCACATATACTCATTGTATACTGAGAGTAACCACATATACACATTGTATACTGAGAGTAACCACGTAGACACATTGTATATGAGAGAGTAACCACATATACACATTGTATACTGAGTAACCACATAGACACATTTTATACTGAGAGAGTAACCACATATACACATTGTATACTGAGAGAATAACCACATATACAATAACAACAACAACTTACATTTATACAGCGCCCTTCATGGAGCACTTGACAGTGACGGAGTCTGACCCCAAACCAAGAGGAGAGGGAGGGGAAGTTTACCATAAGCACTATCAAAAAGGAAGGTCTTTAGGCGGAATTTGAACGTGGGGAGGGAGGGGCAAGGCAGAAGATTGAGGGAGAGGGTTCCAGAGGGCCGTAGTATTTGAAGGCAGGGCCGCCGATGGTAGAGCGAAGGGGACAAGGGACAAACAGGAGGTCGGAACGAGTCGAGGCAGCGGGTGGGAGAGTAGGGGGTAAGCAAATCGGATAGGTAGGGAAGTGCGAGGGCATGAACGGATTTGAAAACGAGTAAGAGGATCTTTAAATTGATCCGTTCAGTAATTGGGAGCTCGTGGAGCCTGGCAAGGACTAGGGTGATGGGGGTATGGAGTTTTGTGCAGGTAAGCATCCGGGCAGTGGAGTTCTGAATTAGTTGTATTCTGTGTATTGTGGAGCTGGGGAGATCAGCGAGGAGGCCAATGGGTTAGTCCAGCCAGGAAGTGACAAAAGCGTGGACGAGGGTTTCAGCTGCTTTTGTTGTAAGGTATGGATGGAGACGGCAATGTGACAAAAGTGGAAAAAAGCGGTCCTGGTCAGTGTACAAATGTGGGGTAGAAATGAAAGCTGGGGATAAACCTGATGCATAAGTTATGCACTGGTTCAGTGAGTCTGAGGGAGAGCCCGGGGTGGTTGAGGAGTTCAGACACACAGGAGAGAAGATGTTGATGGGAGCCAGAGTATGGCTTCCAGTACTCTTTTATAATATACCAATTTTACACAGAAGGATCTCTACTCAAATAACTTCTAAGTAAACCAGAAACCAATCTTGTGATCTTGCGGCAGGTGGAACAAACCTATATGACATTTCGAACCAAAGACAATATAGCATTAATCTTCCACTTTAGGGCTCACTGCTGCACTTCAGCTGAGAAAGGTGTGAAGAACAGTCTAGCCCTAAATACAAAGAGCAGGCGCACTTGAATGGTGTGTGTGTGTGGACTAAGAATGACAACCTACCACTGTAAGCATGTGTAGTACTGGAGTTGATTAAGTCCTATCATTTCCCACAGATTGATTTAGTTAATTGCAGTAATTCCTGCCTGAATCTTGCGTGAATATCAATCCGTCTCTATGAAATGAAGCAGGCTAGCCAGTGTCAAAATAAATCCACAAATAAATAGCCCGCCTATTGGCATCCACATAAAGCAAGACCTCTGCAAGTCACTTCAAGGCTGTCAAGGGAGTTAAAACCGGTTAAAACTGTTTGCTATTGTGAATGCTGTTGTGTAATGACTGTTCTTGTAAGCAAAAGCATTAGCCGTTTTACTCCCCACAAAGTACAACAACAAATCAAGAGGTGAATAAACAATTAATCAATGGGATTGCTGACCAGGACTTCAGGACAAACTCCCTTCTCTTTTCAGGGGCTCTTTAGTGTGCAATTTAAGACAGGGGGACTCCCCTTGATTTAATATCTCACGTGAAAGATGGATCTAAGACAGTAGTGGCTACACTTTAAGGACGGCCAATCAAATACATGTTTCTTTGTTGAATTTAATCTTTCTTCATTTATGGCCGAGCCATGGGTAGCTACTGGAAACAAGGTATTAATTTGGCACGCACTCGCCAGGACTGGGGTGGGGATTCGGCGGGCCACTTCTTGACCCCACTCCCTGGCCACGGTTGGTGAACACTGATCTAAGTGTTCAGGGTTTGCATAGTGTTGTGCATAGGTTAGTGGTTAGTTCGCTCACCTTGCAAGCGAGAGGACCCGGGTTCAAATCCCAGGCAGGGTGAAACCTTAGGCAAGTTTCCTTACTCCACACGTCTCTGTTTACCTAGCAGTAAGTAGGAACCAGTTGTTAGTTGATTGGCAGATCGCTTTCTGTGGGTAATAATTCCTCAAAACACAACTGTTTGTGGGGCCCTACTGTGAGTTTCACCCACAAAATAAACAGTCAATTCACTTTACAGTGTATACATGTGAAGCACTTTGAGACATCTCAATGACGTGATAAGCACTATATCAAATGCAAGCATTATTATTATATTATTATTAACTATTGTTTATTTCCATGTGTGTTGTATGTGTGCATTCATGTATGTCCATGGTTGCACGTGTTGCGTGTATCTGCATGTATGTGCGTGTGTAGGTCAGCAGTGCAACTACGCTGTATAATCGAGGCTTCGATGAGCAGACGATCAAAGAGCGGACAGGGCCTTGCGGCAGCGGGGCAAAGGGTTACAAGAGAACGTCTCCCACCCAGATCAAAGCCATGTCAGACTGCCTACAGCCTCCAAATCCACTGAAGAAGATCTCAACCTGCTCGCCTGCCCCATCCACCTCGTCCGAAGATCAGAGATCCGAAGATCAGGACGAAGGCCCGAGCAACATCATCATCATCTCAGAGGATGGGATTGACCACGAGCACCCCAACCCTGCCACCACCATTTTCAGCCGCCCCGAGGTGCTGATCACAGAACAAGATGGCGTGCTGAAGATCGAAATGCCCACACGGACTCCCCCGGCCTTGCTCCTGCAGTCTCCCAGCCAAACCATCACAAAGTTAAAAATAGTCAAAGGCGATGTCGTTCTAGAGTTGAATCTGTAAGCACCTCTGGCAGCGCAATACTGCTTCTATAGTTGTATGGCTCAGAGCTACTGTGCCAGCAGTGGTGTTTGATCAGTACAAGACACGCTGTCTCCAGCAGGGTACGTGCTGCCAAGTTTGAAATGGCATGGAGTCCGAAGGTTCAGTCCCTTTTCCCAAAAGCAAGCCATCAATCGCTCTGCTCAGTTCCCCCATTGCATTGCGATCTGTGCTGTCCACCAACCAACAAAACATCAATGGGCTCTCCTTATACTCACTGTCCCTCTTTAGAATTCCACCACTGACCAGCACACTGGACGCCTGCTACTTAATTAATATAGTCATTGTATAAAATCCGGTTACACGTTCCCTGGTTCCTGTTTTTTTAGTTCATGAATGGTTCAGCTTTATTTTCAGAACCAGTCACATTACAATTTGGGGACAAGGAGTGGTAGGGGTGGGTTGGTAGGAGTTTAGGATAGAAGAAAGAACTTGATTCTCCCACCATAATGAGGTGGTGCGGACATGGTTCAAGGCAGGAAGGGAGACAGCACAAGCTTGGCAGTGCACAGAGGCCACTGGAGCATCACTGCTGTACCCCCCAACAGTGCTGAGCCTATTTGTGATTAAAATAAATGGAATCCGCTGGGAGGAGCGATTCTAAAACTAAACCTGTCTCCTACCGTTCTGTTTCCTTCTCCTTCAAATGTGCATCAAACTCAGAAAATCTGAAACACATTCACTTCTCCACAAGAAATTAGTCTAAAGCACTGAAATCTTTCCTTAATAGTCCCGCAGCATCCTGTAGCATAGTGGTTAGCAAACAAGAGAACCGGGTTCGATTCCCGTGCAGGGAGAAGCCTTAGCCAAGTTTCCGTACTCCATACGCCTATTTACCTAGCAGTAAGTACTAACCCGGTTGTTATTCGATTGGCAGATCATTTTCCAGGGGTAATAATTAAAAAAAAATTATTTGATCACTCATTCCACGACGGTTCGCGGGACACTGCTGTGTGCAATTTATATTCTGTGAAATGCTTTGAGATGTTATTTCAAATGCAAGGATTATTATAATTATTATAGTCTGGCCTGAGCCCTGACAGTGAATTGGGGGCTGTTGGAACAAACCCAGAAGAACAATTTGCCAGCATAACTTCAAACGCCTGCTCTCTTCCTGGCCTCCGCATCAGTGTTGAAATCAAACCATGCTGGGTGGTAACTAGCTCCATCTCTCTTAGTCACTGTGCAGCTCCCCATCTCTCTCAGTCCTCCTTTACTCTTACAACCAACAGAATATTACAAGTCAAGTCAGAAAACAGGTGTATCATCAGCAACAATAACTTGCATTTATATAGCGCCCTTCATGCAGGTTAGTGTCCCGAAGCGCTTGAGTCAGAGGGTTGTGTCAGCCTGGCTCAGTCAGTAATACTCTCGTCTCTGAGGCAGAGGGATGTGGGTTAAAACCCCATGCCGTTACTTGAAATCACATAGGTGACACTCCAATGAGTGCTGGAGGTGCGCTGCATTGTCCGAGGTGCCGTCCTTCGGATGAGACATTAAACCAAGGTCCTGTCTGCCTGTCAAGATGGACGTTAAAGATCCCATGGCAGTATTTGAAAAGAGAAGGGAGTTTCTCCTGGTGTCCTGGCCAACAATCCTCCAAATAAAATTGGTTATTCACTCAATGGCTGTTTGTGGGACGTTGCTATTGTAAATTAGCTGCTGTGTTCGCTCACAAAATACAGCCACCACACTACATTATATCTCGACGTGAAAGGCACTACACAAATGTAATTTTGTATTGTATTGTATAATGTGAAGCGCTTTGAGACATATCGACGATTTGATAAGGTGCTGTATCAAATGTAAGGATTCTGATATTATAAAGTCAAAGTGTTTCCAAAACCTGTGGGATGGAGGGCTGGGAAAGGGAAACAATAACAACAACTTGCACTGATACAGTTCAACATTCAAAGCCCTCCACTGGCTTCGCTTCCCCCTACCTCTGCGACCTCCTAACCCCCGTACCATCCTGCCTTTTCCTTCCGCTCAGCGGGATCCAGCCTGCTTCACATACCCGCCTGGGCCGCCCCACCATTGGCGGGCGGGCCTTCTGCCACTCTACCCCCACCATCTGGAAATCCATCCCACAGTCCCTCCGCCTCACCTACTCCCTTGTCTCCTTCAAGTCCCATCTCAAGACTCTCCTCTTCGACTGTGCTTTCAATCACCCGCCTTCCCCCACTGTCCTCCACCCTCCCCAATCCTGACCCCCAGCTCGGGTCCGAAACACTGACAGTCCAGCGCCTTGGGACATCCTCCCGACGTGAAAGGCAGTATCTGTAACTTTGTTGTTGTTAAATAGCGCACTTCACGCGAGGGGGGAGGGAGGGAGATGACCATAAGCACGATCAAAAAGGAAGGTTTTTAGACAGGATTTGAAAGTGGGGAGGGAGCAGGCAAGGCAGAGGGATTGAGGGAGAGAGTTCCAAAGCTTTGGGCGTAATGTCTGAAAGCCAGGCGTGCGGAGGCAGTGGGTGGTGGAGTTGGGGGTAAGCAGATCGGATAGGTAGGGAGGTGCACGGGCATGAAGGGATCTGAAAACGAGTAAGAGGATCTTGAAATCGATTTGTTTGGTAATTGGGAGTCCAGCAAGGGCTGGTGTGATTGGGGAATGGAGGTTTGTGCGGGTGAGTATCCAGTTGGCGAAGTTTTGAATTAGTTGAATTTTGTGTATGGTGGAGCTGGGGAGACCAGCACGGAGGACACTGGAAAAGTCCAGCCGGGAAGTGATGAAGGCATGTCGGCTGCTTTGGTTGTGAGGTATGGATGGAGGTGAGCAAAGTGATAGAGGTGGTGGAGAACAGGGTTTTGGGGTTATTTTTGGCCCCAAAACTGACCTGTGAGTAGAAAACTTGAGAGAGCGAATGATGGTAGGTATGAAGATGCTCGAGCCACAGCTGGTGGTAAACCGTGAGGCCGGTTTTGTGCTATCTGCGCTTGAGCAACCAGATTTGGGATTTGAGGGAGGTGACTGTTGTACCAGTGGGAGCGGGTAGACTTGGAGATGGACCTGGTTTTCAGGGGGATAAGGGAATTGAAAGTTGAGGAGAGGTGATCGTTTAGCAGCTTGACCTCTGTGTCTGGATCACTACGAGTTGAAGGCCAGAAGGAGAGAAGGTCCGAGGATGAGAGAGCGTTTGTGAGGGAATTGGGGGGAAGCTTTTTCCATGGGCGGAAAAGATGGTGGAGGAGGGGAGGAGGGGAGGGTGATTTGAGAGGAGCGGAAGATGAGGAAGTGGTCTGAGATGGCCTTGTCTGCGAATACTGTGGACTACGTCCCGAAACTCTGGAACACTCTCTCTCAATCCCTCCGCCTTGCCCCACTCTCTCCCCTTTTTGAAGTCCCGTCTGAAAACTTTGCTCTTACGGCCCCCTCCGCCCCAACCACCCCCCCACCCCCCCGCGCTTGGCACCTCCCCAACCCCTCCCCAGCTCAGGTGCAAAACCAGTATTGTTACGTGACCCCTGAAGTGAAAGGTTCTGTGTAAATATACATTTGTATTGTATTGTGATAAGTGCAAATGGTAAATGGTAAGTGCAAAGAACATTGTGATACTACAGTACCCATTTGTGATAGATTCAGTCATCTCTCAGGTCAAAGTGATACCACCTCCCTCTCTACCCACATCGCACCAACTTGGCCTCAGCAGACCCATTACCCAGCAGTAAGAAGAGAAGTCTATGTTACAAATCTGTTCAGGAGTCACAACGAAGTTCCCGACAATACATCTCTGTCCTCCGTCTCTTATTCTGTCCTCAAACTATTACGGGTATTTAAACCTCTCTCTCTCTCTCTCTCTTTGAAGTGCAAGTGCAATGTAATAGTGGTTCTCACTATCCTCAGATCTGAGTTAAATCCAGAGCCAGCAAACGAAAGCCTTACCGGAAGCCACAGGTCCGGTGGGACTGGGCAGAGGGCTGAAGTTCTCGGTGAAGTTGAGGTTGCACATGTCGGTGCTGCAGCAACAGAAGCGGAAAGTCCCGTTCTGTCTGTGGTTGGTCACCACGCACTCTGGGGAGTAGCATTCCTCCTTGACGCCGACGTGAGCCCAGCATCCTTTGGGAAAGGAAACGGAACAAGAGTGCTGGTTTGTGAGGCCATCCGGCACAATTCATTCTGAGATGCTATTTAAATCAAATCAACTTGGGTTAAAGAATAAAGTGCCCGATGGCTGAGTGGCGAAAGGCACTGCCCACGTAAACCAGTGCTGAGTGACTTGATCTCAACCAACTACTGCAGTAAAACTCACATAAGTCATATCAGTTGGGGCCATAACATTTAATATGACTTATGCAAAGTCCTAGTGTCAGGCAAACTGGATAAATTGTTTATAATTGTATAAATTTAGTCAATAATCTACTCTGCGCATGTGTAATTCAGTGCAGCTGGTAAGTGCGCATGCGATGATCGGTCAAGACATATTGAACGTGTCTTGACCTGTCAATGCATGCACACTTACCGGCAAATCTTGGAATCTCATTGAATTGCGGGAAATGAAATTCTCTGCACTTACATCGATAGATCAAGACTACATTTCCCGATATTCAATGCAACCGACCATTAAGTGTGCAGGACATAATTTCCCGTAATTCAAGGCAGCTGGTAAAGCCAGGAATAATGGAGGGCTGGGGATTGGCATTAGGAGGTGAATATTGCATATTGCAAAGGAATCTAAGTGGTTTTGATGGGAAACTGAATGGGACTCTGGCTATTATACGATTTATAAAGATAAGACTTATGCAAGCTTTACTGTATTTGTATGGGCGATACTTAGGCTAAAGTGTGTAAAAGCAGACAGGGTCCCTGAGTTTGATCACTATTCTTATCGCTGTTGCAAATTGTGTGTGTGTGTGTGTGTATGTGCATGGGGTGAGGATAGAATTGGGTTTTGCTGATACCAGTTTAGCTAGCTCAGCACAGACTGGGAAATGAACCAGAGACCTCACTTTGTTCGTGGCTATGGGAGTGGAAGTCCCATGGGTCACAAATGGCACTTTGAGACTGAACACAGAGGTATTAATAGGAAGATATTAATAGGAATTTATGGCTTGAAGGTATTAATAAAAATATACTGAAGCATCTGTCCCAATTTCGCCCACAGATATACAGTCAATTCACTTTAGTCTATTCTGTGAAACGCTTTGAGACATCTAGAAGACGTGAAAAGCACTATATCAAATGCAAGGATTATTATTAATTGTTGATTCATATCAATATCTGGGGGACTGGAAGAGATTGATGTTTCCAGGAAACTTTTTTTATACATAGAATTATACAGCACAGAAGGAGGCCATTTGGTCCATCGTGTCTGTGCCGGCTCTTTGAAAAGAGTTATCCAATTCAATCCCACTCCCCCGCGCTCTCCCCATAGCCCTGCAAACTTCCCAAATAATTATCTACTTCTCTCTTAAAAACTGTTATTGAATCGGCTTCCACCACCCTTTCAGGCAATGCATACCAGATCCGAACAAGTTGCTGTGTGAAAAATTTCTTCTCACCCCCCCCTTTTTCTGTTTCTTTTAACAATTATTTTAAATCGGTGTCCTTGGGTTACCGACCCACCCACCAGTGGAAATAGTTTCTCCTTCTTCACCCTATTGAATCCCTTCATAATTCTGAACACTTCTATTAAGTCTCCTCTTAATTTTCTCTGTTCCAAGGAGAATAATCCTCGCTTCTCTCGCCTCTCCTGATAACTGAAGTCCCTCATTCCTGGTACCATCCTGGTAAATCTCCTTTGCACCGCACCCTCTCCAATGCCTTGACATCCTTCCTAAAGTGTGGTGTCCAGAACTGAACACAGTCTCTGGCTGAGGTCTAACCGGTGTTTTATAAAGGTTCATCATAACTTCCTGACTTTTGTATTCTATGCCCCTATATATAAAGCCAAGTATCTCGAATGCTTTTTAACAGGTTTATCTCCCTGTCCTGCCACCTTCAAAGATTTACTTATATGAACCCCAGGTCTCTCTGTTCCTTCACCCCCTTTAAGATTGTACCATCGGCTTATATTGTCTCTCCTCATTCTTCCACCCAACATGCACCACTTTGCACTTCTTCACATTAAACTTCATCTGCCACCTGTCGGCCCATTTTACCAATCTGTCTATCTCCATTTGCAGTCTGATACTATCCTCCTCACTGTTTACTATTTTTCCTAGCTTAGTATCATCTGCACACTTGGAAATTGTACTCCCTATTCCCAAGTCCAGGTCATATATATATAGATCAAAAACAGTAGTGGTCCCTGCTGATCAATTAGTTGATTGGCAAATCGCTTTCTGGGGTAATAGTCCCTCAAAAAAAAATTGAGTCACTCAATCCATGACTGTATGTGAGCGATTGCCCACAAAATACACAGTCAATCCACTTTATAATATATTCTGTAAAGTGCTTTCAGGCATCTCAACGACGGGATAAGGGGTTTCATCAAATGCAACACTGATCTCTGGGGGACACCACTGCACCGCTCCAGTCAGAAAAACAACCATTCACTATCACTCTCTTACTTTCTGTCTCCCAATCAGTTCTGCATCTCTGCTGCCACTACCCCTTTAATACCGTGGGCTTCTATTTTGCTTACAAGTCTTTTATGTAGCACTTTATCAAACGCCTTTGGAAAATCCATATAAACTACATCAATTTCCACCCTCTCCGTTACTTCATCAAAAAAATCCATCAGGTTTGTTAGACATGATTTGCCTTTAACAAATCCATGTTGGCTGTCCTTTATTAACCCATATTTTTCTAAGTGAAAATTTATTTTGTCCCGGATTATAGTCTCTAGAAGTTTCCCTACTGCTGATGTTAGGCTGGCTGGCCTGTAGCTCCCGGGTTTATCCTTCTGCGTCTTTTTGTACATTTCCAACCCTCCAGTCCTCTGGCACCACCCCGGTGTCCAAGGAGGATTGAAAGATTGTGGACAGAGCCTCCGTTATTTCCACCCTTACTTCCCTCAGTAATCTAGGATGCATCCCGTCCGGCGTGGGTGATTTATTGAGCAGCAACAACCTTCTTAGTACCTCCTCTTGGTTTATTCTTATCTTATCCAATTTCTCTACCCTCTCCTCTGATACTGTGGCATTGGCTGCATCCTCTTCTTTTGTGAAGACAGATGCAAAGTACTCATTCAGTACGTCAACCATGCCCTCAGCCTCCCCAAGAAGATTTCCTCTTTGGTCCCTAATTGGACCCACCCTACCTTTAACTAACCTTTTATTCTTTATATGCTTATAAAATACCTTAGGGTTCCCTTTTATGTTATCCACTAATCTTTTCTCATACAATCTTTTTGCCTCTCTTATTTCCTTTGGCGCCGTGCTGAAAAGGGAAAAAAATTGTTGCCTTTTTCAAAGCACTTCACAGAATATACTGTAAAGTGGAGTGATTGTATATTCTGTGGGCAAAATAGGCTCGAGGGGCTTAATGGCCTACTCCTGTTCCTGTGTTCCTATCACAGCACTGTACAGTTAAAAGACCCAACACACTGAGTCCTGCAGTCAGCAAATCCGCTGCCCACAATACACTGTGGAAGCACTCACCTTGTTTCATCATGTGGACTCCCCCATCTCTCGTCTCCCACAGTCCGTAGCATTGACTCCCCGTAACACACAGCACCGAGCCATTATCCCGGTTGATGCGGTTTTCGCTGATGCCATGCTCCTCGGTTCGGGGGTACGAATCTCGGAAGGCACATAGTCTCTCAACGCTCTGGGGTACTAGGATTGCAAAGAACAATATCAATGATAATCCTTGCATTTGATAAAGCCCTTTATCAAGTCGTTGAGACGTCTGAAAGCACTTTACAGAATATACTTGTAACGTGGATTGACCATGTATTTTGTGGGCAATTGCCCACATACAGTCATGAATTGAGTGACTGGATTTTTTTTTGAGGGATTATTACCCCCAGAAAGCGATTTCCAATCAACTAATAACTAGGTTCCTACTTACTGCTAGATAATCAGAGGAGTGTGAAGTAAGGAAACTTGCCTAAGGTTTTGTCTTGACCAGGAATCAAAGCCCTCTCTCTTGCTAGACAAGCGCTCTATCCATTACACTATGGGACTCCACAAAGAACAAGAGGACTTTTGGGAGGTGTGGATGCTATAAAAAGAAACTTTCCCAACAAAGACAGCCAGCGCTCGTCATGTGGAGAGTCGCAAAGGCAGTGAGTCAGCCAGTGAGCGGGACTGGAAACTCACAGCCCAACTAGGAATGAACAGTTTTTAGTCTCATATCATTACTCGGTCTGTTACTCGGTCTGTGTGTCAGTTTGGCTCAGCAGATGGCACTGTGGAATCAAGCCTCAGGTTGGGACTTGAACTCGTACTCCAGGCTGACTCTCCAATGTAGGGCTGGGGGTGTGCTGCATTGCAATAAGTGCTGTCTTTCTGACAAGACATTAAACTGAGTGTTTTTAAGTGGACATGATCCAATGGCACTATTCNAAAAAAAATGGAGTTTCTCTCTCCCTGTGTCCTGCCCAACAATTCCCCAGATAAAATTAGTCACTCACTTCATGGCTGTTTGTGGGTCATTGCTGTTGGTGAATGGCTACTGACTTTATCTNAAAAAACAGTCTGGACAATAATTGTGCAGTGCACTGAGATGTTCAGACAAGATAAAGCGCTATAGGAATGCATGTTCTACCCAAACCACGGATTCAACATCCCAATTTTTACAGCTCAGCTTCACACTAGGCATTGAACTTGTCAAAGGAACATCGGGGGAGGAAGACACCTATACACAGCATGCAAGATGGTATAAACATAGTATAATCATGTTTATACACTGTGGGATACACATACAGTGTAGAAACATGATACAGCACATAGCACATTTACAACGTGTAATGTATACAGACAGCATTTAATATAATATAGCTTTCACATCTCAATATGCTTCACGGAATGGAGTGTAAAGTGTAGTGACTGTGTATTTTGTGGGTGACTGCAGCAGCCAGTTTGCGCACAGGAACGTCCTACAAACAGCCATCGAATGAATGACCGATTTTTGGGGGGCATACCAGGAGAAACATCCTTTTCTTTCCGAGTTGTAATGGGACCTTCACCCCCAGGACTGCATTAGTGTGTCATTTGGATTATATGAGTTCCAAGTCCCAAACTCACAACCTCCTGACTCCTGAGGCAAGAGTGCTTTCACTGCGACAGGCTGACACGCATATACTCAATACAATTATAACATATATTCAGTACAAATATGATGTGCAATAATATATGTGAATAATTTGTGCATGCAGTAAATGGCAGGGAACACTGAAATGTGAGATTTCCTCACTAGAGCTGAATATTTATCTGGAGAGAAGCTCTATGTTCTGGTCATCTCTTCCTCTCTTACAGCAATCATTCATCTCCTCTAAGATCAGGGGGTCATTGCAACCAATCAATTAGACTTGCCAGGTCTCTTGGAGCAAGACTCACTTACTTGGGTTTATAACCTTACCTACCCTGATAGATCTCATTAATGGAAAAAGGGAGTTCAGCTTCTAAGGGGTTAAATGGGCTGCAATCCATCTCGCTCTTTTCGATCATAAATCTCACCCTGAAATATTATCTGATAATGTCATACCAGCTCCAAGTCCATTAAATTACTGATTGGCCTGTAATTCACTGCCAGCCATGTGCCACCCTCTAACTACTGTCCATCTCAACCAAACTGCACTTACTATTCTGAGAGAACACACATATAGCCTGCAAACACACACAAAGAGCAGCACACACATACTGAGCAACACACAGAAATATACACAGGCATACACACTAAGCAACAGACACCTATACACGCACACACTAAGCAACAGACACCTATACACGCACAACAGGCACAGAAAAGCACACACAGACGCGCAAATCACAGATGTACACACACAGTCACAGACTTACATACACACAGGAATAGTCACACTTACATACAAATACATTCACAGACATACACACACGCATACAGGCACACACAAACTGATGCACTGGCACCCACTGACAGAGTCACAGACACACCGGTACACAGACCCAAGTGCACATAGATGCACTTGCAAACACAATAAACATAGTGCTTTCTGCCACGTGACTCTGTGCTGAACAGGACTCTGTGTGTAGCAGGGATGTCTGACCCCGTGATAGACTAGCATTTCCCTTGGAATGTGCTGCAATGAGTCACACTGCTTTTCCCAATACACATTTAAAGTAACACCCATAACCCAACAAATGTGAGGCAGAGGCTGCCACTGTGCAGATCATACCCACCAGAGCCACTTCAACTGGGAAACCTTGTGTGTGGATGAGCGGGGAATCAGAAATATAGATGAGAGTATGAGAGCACAAACACTATATCACACTATCTTGTATCAGCCTCGTGCAGTGGTAGCACTCTCATCTCTGAACCCGAAGGGTTTAAGCCCTTAAAGTGAGTTTAAGCCTCACGTGGTTCTTGAACTCACGTAATTTAAGATGATACTCCAATGCAGTGCTGGGGGGGTTTGCATTGTCAGAGGTGTAGCATCGGAAAGATTTTAAACTTATGTCCTGTCTGTCTGTTTAGGTGGAGATTGGCAGCTGCTGAAGGCTTTACCTGGAGTCTGAGTTTGTGAACGTACGTTCAGTGCCTGGAATCCACCTTGATTGGCCTGTTGGTGGAACCATTGCTCAATGGGAAGGGATGTGTGCCCGAGCTGCGGACAGGAAGAGAGCAACAATGCTCTCACGCATTTCATGCTGAAATGAGGAGTTCCCTGTACCTACCATTCACCTAGTGAGGGCTCAAATCAACGCTTGTCGGATGTCAAATGACCAACTAGTGACTATCCTCCTTGGGTTGGGGAGGTAAGCGGGGTCTCCTTGGAGCTGAACTGACTCCAAGGTGACATGCTTGCCAACAGAATGTCAGAATCGAACCAGCCCTCTGTGGCGGTCTCATAGTCCCGTTCCTGAGCCAGGTAAGTCTACAGTATTCCAGGGCACTGCTGATGACGACACAGGCAGCCTGGCTCATCGGCTGGACTTGGAAGGACAGACTAGTCACTGGGGACAGGGAATCATCACACTCAGTTCCTGTTAATCCTGAAAGCCAAAACGCTAATGGTAGTCCTAACTGAACAAGCTGCGGGAAAGCTTGCCAGACAGCGATATCAATGGCAAGCTATGTGGTTTTAGCTGGTTAATCTCCAGCAGTTACCCCAATGCACACTCTGGAGTCCCCAAACCTTCTCTCTTGCAAACCTGCACCAAATTCTTTACAGAATTAGGTGAGCAGGATGTGTCTCTCAAGGGAGAGAGTGCGCATTCCATTCAAACAATCTATCTCTGGGATTTCCATGGGTAGGTGAGATGCATGGAATTGTCAGTTTGGGTTCAGATAATCTTAAGCATGGTGATGGGTTTCTTCATGTGTCAGACACCCAGCTGACCAAAAAAAAAATGGACATTAAAGGTGCTATTCAAAAAGAGAAGGGACTTTCTCTCTCCCGGTGTGCTGCCCAACAATCCCCCTAATAACAATTGGTCACTCACTCCATGGCTGTTTGTGGGACACTTGTTACCAATTAGGCTTCCATGTCCACCTACAAATACATAGTCACTACACTTGACAGAAAAACCCTGTGAAGCACTTTGAAAAGTGAAAGGCGTTCCCAACGTGAAAGGCACTGGATGAAATATAAGGATTATTATTGTTATTATACAGAAATCCTCTGGTCAACGCATTTGCCACAGGATTGGGCGCGTCAGATAACAATTGTTTTTTTAAAAACAAAGGCAGTTTCCTTTCAAACTTGTTTCCTGCTATAAAAAAACTGACATTAGATAAGAAGATAATTCTGTGGAAGTGGGAAAAAATCAAGAGTTATCTTCAAGATGTGTCTCTGGGACAGTGCATTTCTTTTAACAACTATTTTAAATCGGTGCCCTCGGATTACCGACCCACCCACCAGTGGAAATAGTTTCTCCCTGTTCACTCTATCGAATCCCCTCATAATTTTGAACACTTCTATTAAGTCTCCTCTTAATCTTCTCTGTTCCAAGGAGAATAATCCTCGCTTCTCTCGCCTCTCCTGATAACTGAAGTCCCTCATTCCTGGTAGCATCCTGGTAAATCCCCTTTGCACCCTCTCGAATGACTTGACATCCTTTCTGCAGTGTGATACCCAGACTGACACAGTTACTCTAGCTGAGGCCTAGCCAGTGTTTTATAAAGTGTTTTATTCTTCTGAACGCTCTGTGGCTGTGGGGTGAACACCAACTGAAATGTCCGATCCATGAACTCTTCACATATGCTGTGTAGTGACTCCAGCTCCAGAACATCGGTGAGGTGTGTGTGCAAGCGAGCGAGCTGCTCTGAATTTTGTGATCAGGCACCCGGCCAAACAAAAAGAAAAGATGGACCACAGCCATGGACCTGTACATTGTAAGAGAGAAAAGGAGCTCGCGGGAGATGCGACGAGAAAAAGAGGCAGTGTAAATCAGTTCCTAATTCCTTTATCACCATCTCAAGTCACAGAAACTTACTTGTGTCACTTTGCAGTGGCTCTGAAGCAGATTTCCGTAGTAAAAATATCCAGGCACAGTTTGTAGCAAACTCTTGTGATCTGTGCATTATTGAGGTATTTCTGTTTTACACATGCTCGCTCGCACACACACCTCACCGATATACTTGCACGCGCGCCTGTGCACATATATTGATGCATACACATGCATTATCCCAG